TGTAGAGCCAGCCGAGGACACCCCCATCGCGTCGATGTTAAAGCGTTTCCGCGTGCACATGTACGCTCCCGTGAAGAGAGTTCGGTAAATATTTCGCTAGGTTTACACGCGACAGCGGCGACCTTACTGGAAAATCGCGACCGATCGTTCCGTTTTTCCCATCGTTCTGCTGATCCACCGACGTTCCTTTTTCTCGCTCCAGTATCCAGCCGGCTGGGAGGTCCGCATAATATCTCCATTTATCGGAACGACGATGTGCGGTACTGGCTGCGCGTTTATTTACGAGACGGGCATCGCAGTTAAATCGCAGATAGCAAGGCAGATTTGCCGTGCCGACAACAACGGTGCTTTTCGCTAGGAAGAGACTCCTTGTCCTTGATCAGGACAAGGCGAAGAAAGAGAGTGCGCACGGTCGGCACAAGTCGAGGACTCGCTCTGACTACGCGGTTGTAATATCTGACCTATCCGTCCGTGAGAGTCGCTCTGTAATCTCATCTGAAACGGGATCGTGTCGACATCTCTCCGGTGAATCGCAATGTCGATACGTAATGTCCGACGACCGGAGTCGCCAAGTTCGCCGCACGGCAAATGTCGCAAGGCCGTTCGTCGACTTGTTGACCGCTCGGAGTAATATCGAGAGATACGTCTCGGCGAATGGCTGGTTTCTCCGTGGAGCACGAAGTGATTGAGATAAGATATAATATAACATAATAAAAAAAAAAGTTACTTATTTTTATCGAGAATCTGTAATATATTTTTACTCTTCATTACATTTCACATAGAAGTATTTTTGCTCCAAAAAAGTATTGTTTTCAATTTTTTTCATTTTTTTTTCAATTTTTAATTATTTTTAATTATTTTTCGTATATGTCAACTGAAGAAGATTTAATCGAAACGTTTCCAAGAAATTTATAGATAAAGAACTAGTTTAATTCTTAATGTATGTTGTAATAAACTAGTCTATTTTTAAAGATCTAATAAACGTTGCTATTTTTTGCTTTTAATTACTAATTTTTGCTTAGCAATCTCAAGCTAGATATTACATATTTTAATTTATTGTTTTTTTCTTTAGAACTAGATATTTGGAAAGAATTAAAGAGTTTAATAGAGTGAAAGTTTATTATATTACAATATATTATATTAAAACTTAATAAACAATAGTAAGAAAAAAATTGACCGAGAAATATTAACATAAATAAACGAATTATAATTTCCTGTTCCCGTATTTCAAGTTTTAAAATTAACAAATAATCAACGAAAAGTTTGTTCGAACTGAAAATTGTAAAATTTACACAAAAATATTAGGCGAGATTCACTTTCACCAAATATGGCCTTCTTCGTTTATTTGTATCCCAGCAAAAAACATTTTCAACGTTACAACATTGCTGCAATGTTGTTGGAATGTTTCAAAATGTTTCTTATTTACTAGTTGTTGAAACGCAATGCTATGAAAGTAATTTACACATATAAATGTTGTAAGACTATTGGATTTCAAGAACATATGTTTTAACCGAATATGTTTGGTCACCATGTACCGTTGTATACCATTACATTGCAGCACTCTGAATTTTCGACATCATGTTAAGTGCAGCCTACGCATTATGTCCAAATGTGATTAGCGGCACGATGACAAGAACGGTATCCTTTTCAGTTTTATTAGATAATTCCTACGTGAGTTAGTGGTTTGCTTTGTCATAACTTTGATGGCAATAGAATCGATGCTTGCCATCAATGTGATGTTCGCGACAAGTTGATTTCATCGTTTACGTATACACAGACTCGATCGAACTCGAATTTTATGATTCCCGTTTGTAGTACTTTCATGTCAAGCACACAACAATCGCGATATCTGCATCTGAATGGTCCTAAATCGTCGATAAACGCTTTCTGCGAACGAGTCAAGTACATGAACGTGAAGTACATCTCATTAAAATTTTTTTTAAATTACTATGACAATTGGTACATATTACTGTAGTAACGAGGATATAATAAAAAGTTTCATTAATTGTATTTTCATTAATTGTCAATCTTTTCTAAATTAAAAAATATGTCTTGAATGTCAAATCTACCAATTATGTATATTTTATACATATATGTGTATATTTATAATACGTGACTTTCGATATCAGAGGCTCTATTTTGTAACTTTTAACAATGTCGATATCATTATGTGTCGTTGCGCAGTTTTTTTACCATATAAAATAAAAAGTTTTTGCAATAACGTGAATCCAGATACGGTGAACGCTAAAGTCACGTTATTTTTTTCTGTAGTTGTTAAAAAGAAGATAATCCGATTTTCACCGTTGGATAAACGGTATAGCAAAAACTCCTTAATATCTATGCAACGACACTGTAACGATATCGGTACTATCGTTAAGAGTTACAGAATAGAGCAGCAGCCGTGTATTCTAACTGTCGCGATATCATCAGATAAGACGCAATGATTGCCTGACGTTTTCGCGGTCGCGAAAAGTGTATCACAAAGATCAGGGGGAGAAACGATCTCATCGAGCGGTGGTGAATGAGGGAGAAAGTGTAACCGATCTTCGAGAGTTCGAAATCGAAAGTAATTTCCTCGGTCTCACTCTTTCTCCGCCTCCTTTCTCCTTTCTACAGAAGCCCACGATCATTCTTTCTCCCTGACCGAGATCCAGGTCAAGTTCACTGTCTGTGCTCGACAGTGTCTTTCTCTCTTTCTCATTTCACTTTCTCTCCTCTCATCACCTTGCTCTGCGCCCGTCTGCGCTCTCTCTTTCTCTCTCTCTCTCTCACACTCTTGCTCGATCTCTGCTTTCTCCGCTTATGCAAGAGGCAGGCATTACACCATCGGCGGCAATTTCATTCGTACGTCGTGACTCCGACAAACGCGGTCGCAATAAGTTATTATGTCAGTGTCAATGGCACCGATCTTGTGAGAGAAAGATCCCGATAGTTAACGAGTACCAGTTTCGTCGTCGCACGGTTCACTGAACCGAATTCCCCTCCTTTAGCGTTCGATGAGCCAAGGTGAACCAAGGTGAGCCGAAGTGGATACATCGTCTCGGATATCTCTCGCGAGTACAACATGCAGGGCTCCGCTGGTCGATGTTTTACGGCTGTTCTGGTCTACCCGATGAACTCCTCTCCATCGTAAATATGGACGATGCACTGTACAAACGTACGTATGAATAGCGGTTGAGAGGAGGGACAGTGTCGGTTAACTTCCTGGACATTGTTCAGGTTTATCGGCAAACACAGACAATTAACGATCGTTCGGTCAGAATTTTTGTACGTTTTTGAGGAAGAATATGATGTAAATAGCTTGCAAGGACGAAGGATATAATCAGATGAATTATATAAGATATACTGTAGGCTGTATCAAATCGGAGAATAACTTTTCGAGGTTTTTTTTTTGAAAAGGAAATAAAACGCATAGCTTCATGCCGTTAGACTAACTTTGCATAGTAATTATGTGTACAGTGTGTATCTCAATCTTGTAATCAATAAATCTGATAAATAGACCATCGATTTGCAATTAGATAAGCGCGTGTAGTAAATTGCTTTACATATACGATCTTTCTAATTACATTCTTGATGAGATCATCTTTAAAGTCATCCTTTCATAGAACGTGACTGCGTTTCTGTGGATTTTATCAACCTTTATGCGGTCGATTTAACGACCACACGAGAAGGAGACTCGGGGGAACGATTCAGGGAAATAACGTTACTTCGCTGTAACACATACGAGGCATCCCATATAAAAATCGATAAAAAGAAGCACGTCTTTTCTCAACAACGGGAATGAATGGAGGTAGAGATTCGGTGAAGATTTCACCGTAAAATTTTTTCTCGGAACAACTGGAGAAACGTTTTTTGGTCCAGCTGCGAATTTACCTTCATGTTCATCGATGTAAAGGATTGATAGTGAGTCAGCGGATTGAATTTCTGATGTCATGTTCAATTTTTTCGTCGAATTCCCAAACAGATTTTAACGTCACTTATTTATTCTACTTCTCGGCAATACGTAATCGAATTACATTAGTAAAGAAAAATTAGAAGTTAAATTAATGTAATGAAATAAGGGTAAAGACTCCTATTTTCAGTCAAAACAGTTCTTGATGCCTGATAATATATGTCAATTTGCAAATACATTTATTAAGCATCAAGATAATCCACTTTGAAAATAAGATTCTTTTTTTTATTTAATTTATTTATCTAAATTTCACTTTAATCATATAAATGTTATCAATGCAAATATATAGGTTGTTCGTCCAGATTAAAAAAAAAAATTAATTCATAAGTCGATACTTCACATCCTGATTTCTTTCCGATCATTTCCCTTTCGTGTTGGTATCATATGGATTTCAGTTTCCGAAAACTCAGAGGACGAGCGTTGCGAGCGAGAATCCGCACAGCAGATACACTCGCATCGAGGCGCGTAGCGCGAATGCGCGTATCTACGACGGGCGCAAATCGCAATCCGCCGTTTATGCGCATTTGCGCTTGCGCATCGCTGCTCTCGCGGCGCGGCGACCGACCGGTGTTCCTTGTCGTCGTGCTCCTCTCTGGTCCGTTTGCCGATGACATCTAATACGTTCAGGACAATTCACGTGCATCCATTCGCGAGTCGGACAGTGAGGATGCCGCTGAAGAGAAACCGCTGGACAAAAGATACATATCCATCCATTTCGTGCCGATACTCAGGACATTACACGCGTTAGTCCTGCGGACATGCCGTTGGTGGTCGAACGCTGAGAAAAAGGGGAAGAGGGAGGACGAAAAAGAGAAAGATGAGAAGCATATAGGAGGAGGGGAGGGAGAGGCTGGAGTGAGCAAGAGGTAATGTGAGAGAAGAAGAAGAAGAAAGAGAGAGAGAGAGAGAGAGAGAGAGAGAGAGAGGAAACGAAATAGAGTAGGAGAGGAAGTATGTGCGAGAGGGAGCAAGAATATAAGAAAAAGAGAGGATGCTCTCTCCGGTGTGTAGCCTGCGGGTATACATCTCCCGTGAACCGGCGGCGCACGAGTAGTTCACTTCTGTTCGGTGTGGTGTTGCGGTGATTTTGAGGGACCAGCTAAAGAGAGCGAGAGAGAGGAGAGAGACAGAGAGAAAGAGAGAGAAAGAGAGAGAGAAAGAGAGAGAGAGAGAGAGAAAAAGGGGGGAGAGAAAGAAGAGAGAGTAAGCTCTTACGCTCGCACGCGCTCATCAAGGGTGCGAGAGAAGAACCTGGGTTCCCTTTGAAAGACGATCATCGCATCCGGAGCGAGCACGTAGATTTGTCGTAAATCTGCGGTAGATACGCGTCCGACACGGTGCGAAATAACTAACTAAATCGACCGTACATCGAGAGGAGATCACGTCGCCGCATCGAGCCATCAGGGTCGTCCGTCGTCGACGACCGTGCTGGATAGGTAAGTGATCGTGAAGAGTACTTTAGTGCCGGTTTTCTCCTCGGCCGGTTCCTGAGGGTGGATAAGTGATTAAGCGGGTTGGTCGCGCATTCTTTGACATTCAAGTGATCAAGATCAGTGATTCTCGATTGCACGCGACTGTGAAGGGCTGTCGTTATCGTCGCCGACGTTATCGTTGCCATGGATTTTATGAACTGTGATGATGTGCACCACCAAGAGAATGTCTCGATCCCCAAGTGATATGAAAGGATAGATTTAGAAATTTGCAGAAAATTCGGATGTTCCGAAAAGGGTATAATAGTGAAGTAACTCTGTTGCATGGAGAATCTTTCTGCACCTTGTGTTGCCAGAGAATTCGTTTATCATGCGTGATTAAGTTATATTAGAAAACTAGAAAATTTATTAGATAATTTAGAATTAGAAAAAATTGTACATTTTTGAATTTTTAGATGTTTACGTATCTTTGCTGCTTTTGCAATGAATATGGAATTGTAAAATAATAATTAATTTTCTATTAAATATTTCACTTATATAAGAACGGTTGTTTCGTTAATATATAATTAGCAAGGAACGATCGACCACTTGTTATCAAATCATATAAATTGATTAAAATATATCGATTCTTACAGTTAAATGAATAAGAAAAGGTTAAGGATGAGAGAATAATCGCAGAAATAATTCCTTTTCTTACAAGTCGCGTGAAAATGGACCGAGAGTCAAACCAAAAAGAGCCGGTCCGTAACTAAATAATCAAGGCGACATACAATAGGTATGAATGTCGATTTGTAGTCAATGAAGGAAGTCAGACGTGCACAAACACTTCGTACAATTAAAAGACAATATTTAAATATCGAATCAAACGTCGCCAATATCAAGGAATGCTTCCGTTCCAATCCTTAGATATCCGCGATATCCGGAAGATCATGGGATAGTCGCGAAACAGTAATTTCGTAACGTTCGAAATGAGAATTTCGTAAATTACAATTTCGGAGATGATATAATTGAAATAATAATTTCATACAAAATTTATTCACGCGAGACCAATTGCAATTTTTTTGGCAAAACCTAAACTGGAATCGTTAAAAAATTCTCAAAATCTTTTTCGAAATGTGATTATTAAACTCTTCGCAGTGTGCTCTTACATGGGATCAATAACCGGAAGTATATCGATTTTTTAAACGACAACTAGTCGAGGAGAATTTAAAACAGGCCGTACAGTCCTACGTAATGAGTCACAGAAGTACCGATGGGGATCGGAATAATAGTCCCGTGCGAGAGAGCGACGAAAAATGCAAACTATAAGAGGAATCTACGAGGACCTCCTCGGCCTCTTTTTGTATCTGTAATTGATGTAGACTGTCTTGGCGTTCTTTTCGATAATGACGAAGAGAGACGCATGAATAAACGGGACATTCCTGTGGTGGATCTCCTCTTAATCTCATGGAAACCATGGCGGCGATGACGACGACGATCACGGCGACGACAACGATCGGAAATTCTGCATGACGCGGCGCCTCGCGTTCGAGCACGTGCAACCGCTGTTGCTGTTACATTCGCGGTCGATTGTTGCTATTTTCCTGACGACACGCCGCGATCTCGTCGTTCGCGAAGCAATCTTGCTTCACGCAAAAACGAACGGTCGGTAAATCCGTCACGGTCGACGTGCGTCCGATAGCTCGCCTATCGCGTAACGATCAACGGGCGTGATATATTAAATCGCCTTTCAACGGAAACGCGAGGTTTCCGATGAACAGTTAACTCTGCATATCGACCGTAATAACGCTGCCGATCTTCGCAGCCTCAACTGCGATGTTGCATTTCTAATACGCAACACTAGTTAGAAGGCTTACTTGTTCGCGTCGCTACCGTAACGCTGAACGTTAAAAGAAATGTTCCTCTCACAGGAACATTTATTCTCGCTTTTTATTTCTTAATCTTCAACTATGGCTACATGTAATCTAAGTTTTAAAGCATTCTGTTTGAACAAAATGCAATGAACTGCTTTATGGCAAGATATGATAGAGGAATTCTCAAAATTCTTTAGAGTAATCTCACTCCAAAAAATGAAAATTCTGCTTGTTTTGGAAAAGAATGATCGAATTTTCAATCTTCATTAGAGAAATCTTATTCCTTAGAAAGGTATTTCACTTCAAAAAGAACTTAAAGAGAAGGTTCAAAATTTTTTTTTACCTATAATTTAGAACCTTATAGTACCAATTTTATAAATTGTACAACCGTCTCAAATTTTCGCATCAAGTTTAAAATAACTCATTGCTGTAGTCGAGTTAATATCGTGTATGATTAATCATTAACTATAGAAATACATGTTACATTATTTGTAATGACATTGTAAAATTCGTGAATAAATTTCGCTTTTTTCCACTCTATCAAGTAATTGTTTGACTCGATTAAAAATTAAGAAATATTTAACCCTCAAGCGAATTTTATTTATAAGAAAAAAATAAATTCCGCAGAATCCTTGCATGAAGAGGAATACTGGGAATACGTTAACAAAGTACTCATTATTGAACGTTAATTAGCAAGATCAACTTGTGTCCACAATGATGCTCGCGCGCTTGTTAGGTAGAACGACGAAAATGAAACGTGGTAATGGAGTGTAAATAAGAATCGTGTCTCGGCAGACACGTGATCTAGGAAGGGCAATAACCGAGAGAGAGAGAATCCGAAGTTTGTTGGTCCACAGGTAGACGGTGAGAGCATCCTTAAACCGCTGAATGATTATTTTGCGATCAACTCAACCATCACTGCTGTCGCGCAACTTCTTGATAGGACATTTGCTGTTTTCTTTCTGTAACAGTACTGTTAGCCTCTTACTTCAATTAAGACTTTGCTTGAATATATATTTCTTATGCATTACTAATTTTTTTCAGTACTATACAGAGAGAAAAACTCATAAAAAATATTATTAGGTACAAGGAATCACCTTGATTAAAAAATGTCTGGTGGAATTAATTGAAATTCTCGTTAAAAATGGACGAATCAGAATATTCTGATTAAATCTATTAGAATTCTAATTAAGATAATCGGAGTTCTAATTGAAATAATCAGAATCTTTTGATTCGTCCATTTTCAGACATTTTTCTCAATGTAACACTTGCTTACATTTTCTTTTGATGAGTTTCATTTTTTGCTCGGAAAATCTTTCTTTTAAATGAATTTTCTCCCTTTTGCATCTACATACATTACATTTAACCATAAAAAAATTATCTTGAAAATTAAATAATTTGAAAGATCGAAGTTTATATCATCAATATGAAAAATAAAATATCATATCTAAATTATCATTTTAATGTTACATTAAATGCTATGTGAAATGTCGTACGTATCTTCGTCAGGCCCGTTTTAGATTCTCGCTTGACCGAGCACTCGAATCGCACGGATATTCACGAAACGGTAAAAACGAGAGAAGCGAACGGTGTGTGTCGAAGCAATGTATTCGTCATGAGCACACGCTACAATAAGTTTCAAAAGGACGAGGCGCGTGTCGGATCGTCGCCGTCGCTCGACTTTGAATGACGGACGCTTCACGTGACTTTCAAAGCGATCGATCGTTGAGCGTATTGAGCCGATAATCTATCCGATAAACAGTGTTGCGAATAAAAAAAAACAACAACGAGAGACGCTTGGACGGCCGTCGGCCTCCGGTTATAAAAGAACAGCGCGTTACAAACAACGTGTATAAAAATATCGAGTACATAGGCTCGCTCCTGCAGCGCGTGAAATGAGCTCGCGAATTCAATCGGACGCATCAATTCTTCAGTCACGTAGGACAATACCGTAGAAATCGGATGGTTTTGCTGAATTTAGCGATACTTTAACAAATCGATAGAAGTCCTGGGACGATGACCCACGCTCTACTGCAGACGAGACAAAATAGGAATGTGCGAAAATATCAAATTTTCAAATGATATTTCCGCGCTTGAAATATTTCGTGTGTACCTCCGATCAATAAATCGAGTTGGACATTCAGTCGTGAAATATGGATGATAAATTATCAGCTTTCTGTTATCCGTACAATGAAGTAACACTGCTCTAGACACGCAAGAATTTTGAACATCACGTACGAGAGTCGTGCTCTATCGGCTGTTGCGGGATTACAGACTGCCTCTAGTTCGCGGCCGTCACTAAATATTATTATTACGTGAAACACTTGTTCATTCTTCTTGACGTTTTATCAACGGTTTTTTTCCTCTTCATTTCATTGAAAAAGCCATGTTCGAACTTCGAATAGTTTCTCTCTCATTTGCTCGATGTATCGCGAATGCGCGTCCGGTCGAGTACTTTTTATTCTGCGTGTGTTCGACCGTTCTTCGATATCGAATGCGGTTTATGACTTCTGTCCGGTAACCAGTCGTGTACTCGATAAAAATCGGCTACTCGGTCTCAGTGAGATCGGAGGGAATTTCAATGCGCGCATGAATCGCTCCAACGCCACCTTGGGACTCGTTCCACGTATAGTGCACGACCTCACGAACGGTTTTCAGAACGCTAGTCGGCATATAGGCGTGGTTTGATTTCCTCGTTTATTCAATACTGTTAAAAAAAAATACTTTACTAGTACTACGATACAATGTATCTTCTCGAAATAATTCTTTAACTCGTATCAATTAATTGGGTTTATAAAAGATATACCTCTTTAAATTATATTTAAATAAATTTAAATAAATTTTTTAGCATTACGAGAAAATATTAAGTAATACGTAATTAATTCTATAAGAAACACAATGCGAAATTACGTTGATATAAAATGTATAAGTATAGAAAATATGAGAAAAATTATTGTATTAAAAAATAATATGATAAGCATCTATTTGTTAGAATGGTTTTATTATATAAAATTATTCTCCAATACACTATTTATAAAAAAAAAGATAATTTAAATAATAATTTAAAAAATTTGTTTGAATATGATTTAAAGAGATATATTTTTTATAGACCCAATTAATTAATACGAGTTAAAGAATTATTTAGGAAAGATA